GGGAATGTAACCTTTGCAATATTATTATATATATATATATATATATATATATTATAATTCATAAATGACTTTTTCATATCAATTATGTTTTATAGGTAATGGTGATGACGCCTCAGATTTTATTGGACTCATTGAGGAGAGCTTTCTTATCAATGAGTGTGGTGCGATTGCTGATTTTTGATGAGTGCCATCGAGCCACTGGGAACCATCCTTATACTAGGATAATGAAGGCATTATAGAAATTTTTGATCTTCCACCTTTTTATTAGATTTATTTTCTACCATGATCCTGTTATTCCAGAATATATATTTTCTTTTACAGGAATTCTATCACAAGTCTCCAGAAAGGCCAACAATTTTCGGAATGACAGCATCACCTATTATAGGAAAAGGCAAGAGTTAGTTAATCTATCTTAATTTTCAAACTGAATTATTTCTTTTGTTGTGGTCGTTGCGCTTCTCAATTGAGAAAAGTATCAAAATAATCCCCTAATTTTTTGTCGGGGGCCATTTTAGTCCCATAGTCTATAAAAGTGTCACTTTAGTCTTTCGGTTGGGTGGAGACTATTTTAGCCCTTATTAAAATGGTTTGTGACTAATTTGACATTTTTTTGAACTCGGGGGACTATTTTGGCACCTCACTCCTCAATTTCAAATTTGATATGTAGTTATCATAGAAGTATCTTCCAAACAGGTGTCTCATCAGCTACGGAATGTGAAGATAAGCTTTCTGAACTTGAAAGAATTTTAGATGCAAAGGTAAATTTTATCTTCTTAGTCGCACCTTGATTTTCTTTGCACCGATGCAAACATTCAAATCAATTTTGAAGCCTCTATATGTAAATTTGCGTGTTGGATAATAATTCTCCTATGGTATTTGTGACTCCAGAGTGCATTCTTATATTAGTTAGTGGATGGGAGTTTACATCCTGACTTGAATTAAATCCGCCAAGCTCAAGTTTTTTTGTATTTTACAGATATATGCAGTCGTTGACAGGAGTGAAATGGACTTATATGTTCCTTCCGCGACAGAAGTTAATATATATTATGATTCGGACTTGTTCACTCATCATTGTTTAAAAACCAAGTTGGGACTGTTATTTAATAAGGTCCTAATTGCGCCCTCTTTGTATATATGCTACTTTTCTCTTACTTCAGTTTAAGAATATATGTGAAGCAATTACTTCTTAGATTATTCATCCACTGTAACAGTTTGATGCTGCTGTTATCTCTTTGAGTAGCTCCAGATCACATCATTATAGTGATTCAGAAGACATTGTGAGAAGATCCAGGATGCGGTTGTCCAAGTGGCATGTAAAATTTTGCTACTGCCTTGATGAACTTGGATTGATTTGTGCGAGTGAGGTATTGTTTACTTGTATCTGAGCATTAAGATATTGGGAAATTTACATAGGTAGCACACAATTCTTATGTATTTACATATCACACATCTAAACTTTCATATTTATACTCATTGTATTTGGTGCTTTAAACCTAGGCATGAAGAGGTATATTTCATATTTAAAAGTAGTAATAGTGCTATTTTTGATGAGTAATAGTGCTATTTTTGTGCTATTTTTGATGTGATATTAAAGATGAGTGCTATGTGTGTAAATATGAAAATTTAGGTGTTAGATATGTAAGTAATTACATAAGAGTTTTGTGCTGTGCATGTAAAAGCCACTAAGATATTATCAGCCTTGAAACTAAATGATAACTGAATGTATGATAAGAATGAGAATGTCTGGCTGCCTGATGGACTTCTCAGTATACTAAAACTCTTAAACTCTAAACCTCGAATATCATTTTTAGTTTGTGTATTTGCGAACATTTCAAGTATTCATTCAATATTTTTCATAGCAAGACGAGACAATGAGTTCATTTCTTCCATCTCTGTTTATGTATCATAAGACTAATGATAGGATTTTCAGGATTACACATTTTTCTTTTCAGTTTTGTCTGTGCACATATCTCCAGCTGATTGCAATCATGTATAGATTACTCATAAACCATGTTTTAATGAATATTAGCTACTAACTAGATATGATATAGCAGATATAACTGGTTTCCCCAGAGATTTCATAGCCTTTTTTTAGTAATCATATATCTTGGTGTACATGTTACTTTAAAAAGGAATATTTGCATGCATACCACTAAATTCCTATGTGTTTACATATTCAACACCTAAACTTCAATTTTTTATGCATATACCACCCTACCTATTCATGAAATGTGAATTTCACATTTTAGAAGTTAATGTGATGATATTTTGATGTGATATGAAAGATTTGGCTTGCATAAATGTAAAAGGTGAAGTTTAACTGTGGGATATGTAAATATATAAAAATTGGGTGGTATGTATGTAAATGGCCCCTTTAAAAACACATGGAAGCCTATAAATGGCTTATATTCAGCAATCTTTAATAGTTTTAAAATTAGTAGCTATGCCGAGGACATAATATATTTACAATTGGTATTCTTTTCAACAAATCTTTGTGTGCTACTTAAAACGTGTTAGTTATTGATGAATTTCCCTGCATCAGGCTACTACAATATGCTCGGAGAAAATCCGTCTTCCATATTCTGCAGCATGTAAGGATTTTGCTGCAGAGTGTTTGGAACTATGCAAGTCTTTTGTTGAGGAGTGTAGGAATTCAGTTAACGAATGTTTGCCTCAAGGTATAATCTTATTCTTTACCATCTTCTTTGTCTCTAGATAACTCCATTAACTGGTTTTCCTTCTGGATTGTTTTGTTAATGGAAGTATTTAATTTTTAAAGTGGTTATTCACTTACAAGTGTTATTCATTTTGTATATTAGGGGGTCTCCCTTCATTTCATATTCAGGTCTACCACGCTTGCTATTAAGTGCAAGCATATTTATTTTTTCTTCGGAAATTTTTATGATTTGCTCAACATTTCTGATGAATAATTGATTTTATATGCCTTTCTGACCTGCTTATGCTTTTAATAATTTCATGCACATCCTTTGATTCTGAATGATTTGCATGATCCAACTCGAAAGGATAATATTTCCATTCACTGTTCTAGAAGCCAATATTTATATAGCCAAAAGGAAAATATTTCTGTTCACTCTGAGATACATTTACAAGCATGCAAAAGGCATACGTTATTTTAGATCGACCCATTTGATTGATTGAGGGAATGTACATATAAGTGCATGAATTACTGCCAATTAACTAATGCATTGCTGATGAACCAAAATGCTCCTCTCGATAAGGAATCCCTTTATTTTTCTGATGAACTTAAATGCTGAAGTTTAACATCCTGTTTGTTATTATCTTTTTAATAAAAAAATTATGATTTTACCTTATTATGCTTTCAGTTTATGAAATTCTTCTAAAAACTGTAACTTGTGGTCCAGAAGCAAAGGATCTGGGCGGTCCAGAAGCCAAGAAATTGGGTTATGTATCTTCCAAATTGTGCAAACTGATGTGTATTTTTCAATCTTTTGAGTAAGCAGATAGATCTTATTTGTTTTTTATTTTATTTATTTTCTTAATACTTGCAAAATCTTTTTATACTTTCTTTTTTTTTTAATTTTAATATCAGCACTTCCAGAGAAATTCGCTGCCTTGTTTTTGTCGAAAGAAAAATTACAGCTAAAGTGATAGGTCGCATTTTTGAGAAAATTAATATTTTATCAAATTTAAAAGTTTCTTATTTGACTGGAGGAGGTTCTTCAGTAGATGCACTGACCCAGAAAACTCAGAAGGAGACCTTGGAATTATTTCGTCTTGGAAAGGTGCCTTTTGATGTTAATCCTGTTTTACTTTCAAGTTATGATCTTGTTATATTTTACTAAAGAGTTGAAATATTACTCTGTAGGTGAATATATTGTTCACTACTGATGTAGCTGAAGAGGGGCTTCACATTCCTGAATGTTCATGTGTCATTCGTTTTGACTTGCCAAAAACAGTTCGTAGCTATGTTCAGTCAAAGGGGAGAGCTCGACAGTTTGGCTCCCAATACATTATTATGCTTGAACGGTAGTGATATTTTTTTTATTTCAGCTTTTGTATATTGAGGGCCTTCTATATTATCTTTTGCATATTGAGGATGTTAATCTCCGGTTTCTGCTTAAGATAAATTCCACATGAAACTAGTTTGTAATTGTTATGAAACTTAGATTTAAAAGTTCGTTGTTAAGGGGAATTGCAATTTAGTTTTGTTCAAAGGCTGGTTGTTTTGGATTTAAGTTTGATTCATTAGAGAAGAACAGTTTAGTTTGTTAGGGAGTGTGTTTGAAGGTTGGCCAAACTTGGGCCTCATTCATCAATAGTCAAAGTTATTTTTAGTTCAAAATTTAAGACTATAATCGTGGACTAACTAATAGTATATGCATCGACATATTTTTCAAATTTCGATATGGGACTCAATCCAATTCTTTCATGCGCCCTACACACACACACTGCAACCCGCATGAGAGCTGTACACATCAACTATAAATCTCTGTGAACTTGGAAAACTTTCAACAAACTAAGCTGAGTGGCATACACAATATACAGGGTAATGACTTGCTTTTTGCCAACATCTTGGCTATCATGTGTTGGAACACAAGAATTTGGTCGGTTAGTATAATCCAACTGATTGATTAGTGTAACATAATTGATTGATCAATCAAATGGCCCTAAATTTAGTCTGCAAACTTTATCTAATATCTGTAGTGATGATTATAGTCCACGTTAGGTTGAACCCAAAAATTGTGGGCTTGTTAGAATCTTTTGATTGGAGTTGTCCGAACGACCAAGTATTTTTTCTAGGTAGGTTCTCAGACCAAGCAACAACTTTGATTCTATCATGGCATTGCAATAGACAGTTCTGCCCTCCTTGGCCGATGAAAGATCTGCCAGATAACTACTCTTGTTGTGATGTGCAGACCATGCTCCCAATATTTCATTGGTTTTCATAATGAATCGTTGCCATGAATCCATGTCACTCTCCAGAATAACCGCATTCTATAAAGTTGGTTGTGCAACGTCTGTCTTTGTTTTACTCCACGTGTCCCACTGTTTCTATTTTCATTAAAGGTGGTTGACATTGACACATGCCTTCACATTATAGTCATCAAAGATATTCTATCCAATTGGTCTGACCCATGTAAATGCTCCACTCTAGACCTTGAACAACATATAAGGAATAATGCTTTTAGCCTAGATTCTGCAAATTATAATCTGCGGCCAATTCTAATCGGGAAATTTTTTCTTTACTATAGGGGAGTTGAACAAGTGCGACTTAGTGGAAAGTAGTATAATCCTTTAAATTTTATAGTAAAGCTTCTCTCCTCACCCTGTGGATGTTGGTCGATCAATCGAGCCAACATAAAATCAGTATGCATCTTTCCTATTTTCATTTTGACTGTCGCTCTTCCTCGAACTTTTTTGTCTTTTATTATGAATTTCTTTGTCTTTTGCTAGGTAGTAAATTGGCTTAGCAACTCAACCTTTCTCATTCCTCTCCTTCCCTATTACTGTGAATCAATTGAAAGTTTGCCTTAGAATGTTAGTTGATTTGCTTCAAGATCTTTTGTCTTCCACATCTTTTGATGAATATTATTAGGCTTATCTCTCTTTTATTAGGAAGTAAATAGGCCTAACAATTCAACCCATTCCCATCTCATTCTTCTTTTACATTGTGAGCCAGTTGAAAGCCAACCTTTACATTTCGGACGATCCACCTAGAGATGTTTTAATCATTTACATCTTTTGGTGCTTTTATTGAACTATGTTGATTAAAGGAAAACATATTGAAATAACATCTGCCACCAGCACACAAGTTCCTGTTGTTTCCCTCCTACGCTTCTTGGTACTACTGATGACTAAGGGACCATTTGTCTCCATGCCCCATTTCTTGGAGCTTTCATTCATGATCAACCTTCTCATCCAAGGAAAGCTTTGCCTTGTTCCCCAAACTTTAGTTGCTATTGGAGCCTCTGTGGCTCTTGTTTATCTAGTTTTGGGTGGAATGCCTTTAGTCCATCCTACTCTCCACTCCAGTTACACTTGTCGCGGTGGCATTCCAACCATCACTTCTCTTGTTTATTAATGGACCCAGTTGCACTAAACCTGGTATCAATCTTGTCCCTCCACTTACTAGTTTGTGGAAGTGGCCCAGGGAGGACTTTCTATGTACATTAGTCTTTCCTTGGCTGATTTTACCATATTAACATTTAGCCTTTATCTCTAGAAATTTTGTGGAAGTCATTATTTTCAAAATTCAAGTCCCTCGATTGTTACAGGTGGTTATGGTGCTCACATTGAGAGGATTCCACCAAGTGGTGGCTCTTACAATTATTCCTTCATAAGATTGATTTGTTTGATGCGTTGCACCGATAGTCCATTGTGGAGTTTTATCTTAAGTGCGACCTAAAGTTTACTCAAACTCTGCTTAGCGTCTGATAGGCGGAGTTTAAGTTCTTAAGAGATTATATCTCTCTATTAGGGGTGTCAAATTGGGTTTTTGGGTCGGTTTTGGGTTTGATCCTACCCAAAATGGCTTGACTTGAATCCGACCGGCCTCCAATCCGCCAACCTAACCCGACCGGTGTAACCTGTTCAACAGAAGGCATAATATTTATTTGGGTCAATTTCATGTCAAATTCGGGACCATTCTGGGTCAATCTATGGTTAATTTCAGGTTAGTGGGTTGATTTCAAGTCAATTTTTTGTTGATTGGTCAATTTCAAATTTTATGGTTGCGGGTCATCTTGAACCCGACCCAAAAAATTAAATGGGTTTGGATTCCTAACCTTGATCCGATCCGAATCTGAGTTTTTTTATTGAAGTTCGGGTTGAGTTGGTGTTTTGGTTCAAATTTTGACACCCCTACTATTCGTATGTACAGTTTCCTTGGAAGTTATTAGATTAGATCACTAGTTGGTAAGTTCGCACTTATTGTGGGTCTTTGTGACTCATCATTCAATAATGCTTTCATCAAGAAGGTGCTTGTTGCCATGACAAACTTTATGAGCGGCAATTAAATTTTGTCTGTGCTAACGATGTTACTGCTTGTTGATTTAAATTCATCGATTTGGAAGTTTGGTCCCAATTTACTAATTAGTTGGATCATCCTATTCAGCTTCTCCAAGAGCAACATGATCGAGGTCATAGGCAAGACAAATATTGAGATAAGTTCATGGTGAACAAGGACGCCATCATGATGTAAACCTTCATGACAATTGTGGTAGGTTTAATGAGCATTGCTTCTACTCTTCAAGCTCAAGGCATCCGTTGCCATGCTTAGATTGTGATATTGATCTTTCTGGCTATTTTGAACAAAGGCCATCTCTATTTGTTGCTCCAGTTAATTTTCAACTCAAGGTTCAATATGGAAAGTTTTATCTCTACCATACAAGTGTGATCATGTGATTTGTGATTATCAAGTGCTAAAGGCCTTCATTGAGAAAATTTTGGAGGGCTACTAAAACAAATACTTTGTGCATTTGACACTAATAATAGGAACAATGATACCTAATCAGCAAAGATGCTGACCCCATTGTGCATATAAATGATTGACTAGGATCAGACAATATTCGTGTCATTTTCCAAAATCCATTGATTTCTGTGTGTGCTTGACCCTATGCCACTTGATGATAAAATCACATACAATTACTTTTTTGGAGATATATTTATATACTCCTTTTTGCAACTTCTTTAACAGATAAAATTTTTGCCAATTGGAATACCTGACAAGATGTGATAATTTTCTAGGTGATTTTTAATCATTTTGAGGCAGTCCATATCCTTATCAATCTGAGTTGCTCCGCCAATGCCATCTTCTTAGTCAAATTGTGTAGCTTTAACCATATGGCCATCTAGTTGGTTTGATAGAGGAGTGCTGATTTAGAACTAATCATCATTGGAGGTTTCGTGGAGGACAATAGTTACTTAACACTCGTCATGAAACTTTATGGTACTCTAGGCACCATTAGCCTACAATGCATCTTTAGACTAGCCCTTTAACCACTGCCACTTGATAGCCTCTTCCTATCACTCGACAGACAAGCTTTTAAATCCTAATGGTGTTGTCGTGATCTAAGGGGACTTGGTAGTGCTACCTTAACTTTGTTCAAGAGAACTTTGATGACAAGTATCCCGAAGAGCATGAGTTGGCCATCTATATCTTGTTAGTATAGGTGTGCGAGATTCTAGTCGATCACAATGATGGCTCCAAGCAAATGTTCTTTATCAGGATTTTCTATGGAAGTAATTATTTTTCCCATTTTATTCAATTACTTAAAGATTATCTTGATATTTTTTTTTTGTGGAAGCGCTTTAAGATGCTCAACACAGCGTGTTATCAACTTAATTTTTGGCTGAAACAATGCTTGCAAAATTATTTTATTAAGCTCCATACAACAATTCAAAAAGGTTTGGAGAGAGATAAAAAATTGACACAACCTGACAACCCGACTCAAACTCGACTTGAAAAATCTCGGTTAGTGTGGATCCAAATTTTTTTTTCTGGTTGGGTTCAGGTCTCAAAATTCAACACGATTAAATATATGGGTCAAGAACAAGTTGACCTGAAATGGACCCGTTTAAACCAGAAATTGGCGAAGGAAAGTTATTAGGCTTATGCATTTCAATTTTTGAGTTTTTCCCTTACACTTATTTCCCCGAACCTGACTCTTAATTCTTCAAGAGCCACATCTTATTCCCTTTCAAAGCTTTCTATTGCGTTTCAGATTTAGGGCTTGAAAGTGCGATAGTGTTGGCTCATCTCCTCTTCGTGCATTCATGTGGTCAACATCGAGAAGGTTAGAAAGGAAAATCTAGGCGAAGTATGACCTAGTTTTGATTTCCGTCTACCATTCTTCCAATTTACGTCGATCCAGAGCGCCAAGGTCGAAGGCTCAAAGTTTTTGGAATTCCACCGTCTACCAACAAAGATATTTCTCCCATGTAGATCACAATCCTCATCTTTAGCTTTTCTCCTATTTGATTTGTAGTTTTTAAGGTTTCTTCTTTTCACCTTTCTTTTGTTCGAA